GCTGCTGCTGCTGCTGCTGCTGCTGCTGTTGCTGCTGCTGCTGCTGCTGCTGCTGCTGCTGCTGCTGCTGCTGCTGCTGCTGCTGCTGCTGCTGCTGCTGCTGCTGCTGCTGCTGCTGCTGCTGCTGCTGCTGCTGCTGCTGCTGCTGCTGCTGCTGCTGCTGCTGCTGCTGCTGCTGCTGCTGCTGCTGCTGCTGCTGCTGCTGCTGCTGCTGCTGCTGCTGCTGCTGCTGCTGCTGCTGCTGCTGCTGCTGCTGCTGCTGCTGCTGCTGCTGCTGCTGCTGCTGCTGCTGCTGCTGCTGCTGCTGCTGCTGCTGCTGCTGCTGCTGCTGCTGCTGCTGCTGCTGCTGCTGCTGCTGCTGCTGCTGCTGCTGCTGCTGCTGCTGCTGCTGCTGCTGCTGCTGCTGCTGCTGCTGCTGCTGCTGCTGCTGCTGCTGCTGCTGCTGCTGCTGCTGCTGCTGCTGCTGCTGCTGCTGCTGCTGCTGCTGCTGCTGTTGCTGCTGATGCCCTGCCGCCCTTCCCGTCCCCTCACACCCCGCCAGTCCTGCACTCACATCCCCTCCTCCCCCTCCTCCTAACCCCCCTCCTCCCACTCCTCCTCCCTCTCCTCCCCCTCCTGCCCTTTTTACACCACCTTCTCCACGCCTCCCACCATCACCATCACCGTATCTGTCCGCCGTCCTAGCCCCAGCATCCTCCCACACGCCATGGAAGCGCAGGCGGTTCAACGCAAACCCATGCATGTGACCCGGCCCCATGCCACTCAGCGGCCTTCCCATCCCCCTGCCTTCCGAACGATCCACTGGCCCCTCACGCGCCCCTCCATTGCCACTTGCCCTTCCTCCTACCTCTGCGTCTGACACTCCCTGTCCCTTGGTTTCTTGCCTTACTCCCCCTGAATCGGCTAACCCTTCATTGATTTCCGCAGCACCTGCTTCTGTGCTTGCTGCTCCTGCTACGGGTTCTGGCGCTGGTGCCACAACCAGGCGTGCAGACAGCTGAGCACCAGTGCGAGGTTCTGAAGACCCTGCTGTCACCAGTTCGCAGCAATGGTCACTCTTCTGCCAGTTACACAAGTCCGTTACTGCACCCATTCCCTGCACCTCCATTGCTGCTGCTGTGCCTGTGTAATCACCTAAGCCTGTTGCTACTGCAGCTATATCCACGGCACCTACTTCTGCGCTTGCGGCTCCTGCTACGGATTCTGGCGCTGGTGTCTCAACCAGGCGTGAAGACAGGAGAGCACCAGACTGGGGTTCAGGAAATCCGCCTGTCACTGCTTCCAATCGCTCGCCACTCTTCTGCACGTTGCAGAAGACCACTGCTGCACCCACCCCCTGCACCGCCACTGCTGCTGCTGTGCCTGTGCTCTCGGCTGCGGCTGTCTCACTCGCTGTTGCTTCTAATGCTGATGCTGATGCTGATTCATCCGCTGGAACAACCGCCTCTATCTCCTCTCTTACCGGATGGCCTGCCTTAACCAATGCTCCTTTCACTGCACAATCTCCTGCACCACCGCAAGTTCTTACCGTGATGCATGCTGATGCTCCCCCTGCCACCTGCATTCTTTGCTCCGCTCGCACTCCCCTCTCCTCCATTGATTGTCTCGGTGCCTCCAAAACTACCTCCGTTGCAAGTCGTCTTCTCACTGCTGTTCGCACTCCCTCCTTCCGCACTGATCCTGCAACCCCATTCGCCCCTCCCACAACAGAATTCGCCACTTGCATCTCTTCCACTGCTCCACCCGCCCTTGCAACAACCGCGTCACCGCCTCGCATTGCTTCTGCCCCATGAATGCCCCCCGTTTCGCCCATCAACCCATTTTCTTTGCTGCAGTCCAGCATTATCTCCTTGGGCGCAACACACTCGACTATGGCCGCGGATGAGAGCGGCCACTCTAAAACCTCCCGACTCCCATCCCTGTCGCCACTGCTCTTCTCCGCGCCACCACTTCTCTCATCCCTTCCATCCTGCCTCCGTCCATGGCTTAAACTGCGGCACTCCTCCTTCGCTCCACCACCCCAATCACCTTCCTCACCACCCGCCTCCCCCTCCCGCTCGTCATCGCGCTCACTCAGCAGCACAATTGCATCGTTCCTGTTCAATCCCAACCCTGACGCCACCCTTCCCCTTCCCACTTCCTCCCCGCAACCCTGCGCGTCCATTGCCGCGGGCTCGCTTCGCTCCTCGCGCACGCGCGTGTGCTGGGGTGCGGGCTGCGACTTGGGCAAAAGCGCTTCCTCCGCGCAACCCTGCGGGTCTATTGCGGCGGGCTTGCGTTGCCCTTCGAGCACGCGCGTGCGCTGGGGTGCGGGCTGCGAATCGGGCAGCAGTTCTTCCTCGTGTGATTTTTCAGGCGCCTCAGAAATCCCCTCGTGCACGTGTGTGTGCTGGGGTGCGGGCTGCGACTTGGGTAATAGCTCTTCCTCAGGTGTCTCATCACTGCCGCTCTGCTCCTCCCCCATCCCTTCGTCCCCCTCTCTCGCCCCTCCATCGCCCTCTCGCGCCCCTCGATCTTTCCCCCTCGCCCCGCCATCCTTCCCAGTCGCCCCTCCATCCTCAACCCTCGCCTCTCCATCCGCCCCCCTCGCCTCTCCATCCGACACCCTCGCCTCTCCATCCGCCCCCCTCGCCTCTCCAACCTCTTCCCTCGTTTCTCCATCCCCAGTCGCCTCTCCATCCGCCCGCTTCGTCTTCCCATCCTCCCCTCTGTCACCCCCATCCTCCTGTATCGCTGTCTCTCCACCTCGCAGTGCTTTCGGAGCCGAACCAAACGCCACGTGGGCTTCAGCATTCACCTGCGTACCATGCTCCTCCCTTGCCTCCTCCGTCTGCCGCTCCAGTTCGTCTGCTTTTTGCCGACTCTCTTCAATAACAATATCGCGTGCTACTAAAGCGAATCCGTCGCGTGAGCGCGGCGTACGCGCGCTCGCTAATGTCACACATACTACACTGTCGCCATTCATTTGCCCAGTAGCGGCCGCTTGATTTCTCTGTCGAGCTTCGGGCTGGCTCTTAGATCGCTGTAGCTTCGCGGAAAGAGCGCACTTGCGACCGTGTGACAGTATCGAAGGCTGTCGTGGGACGCCAGAAAAGGGCGTCCCCTTGTCGCGGCCCTTATCCCCGCTTATCCCATCACTGCTTCTGTCACCCGTTTCTTCAATCACAACTCGAAAGCCCAGCGGGTGGCCGAACCCTGCGTCCGCGAGCCGCCCCTTCGATACAGGAACGACGAACGACACCTCGCTACCGCTCGTTAAAGCCACGGGACGACTCGCGTCCACGAGCCTGCCGTTGACGTACGTTCCGTTCATCGAGCGTGCTACTATCGAGGATGGCGCCAGCGGTTGTAACGAAGCGCCGTTCACACACCATGATTGCGCTCCCGGAAACGCGAGGAATTCCGGACAAGCCCCTGCGCTTCGACTTCGACCAAGAGACTTAGTAACCGGCGGGGACCTCAGTGCGGCGGCCGACTCTTGAGAAGCCGCGAGATCCGCCGCCACGGGCTCGGCAGCTGCAACTGAGAATCCTCCTTTACTGGATCGATCGGTGAGAGAAGCGGGCAAGTGGTGAGGATGGCCGCGGAACCGTTGGTGCGGGATTGGCAGCGGCGGCTGGGGATTCACGGAGCGCGAGAGGCCTGCCAGTCGACGTCGCTTGAGCGGCAACTGCGCGGATTCGTCCGCAACGGGGTCTACTAGTCCGTCCTCGACTTCTAGCTGCTTCCTCGCTGCTGCCTTCGCTAACTGCGGCTCGGGATACGACCGAAACTGGCTCCCGTGATTGGAGAACGCGATTGGCTCTTGCGCACCTGCACGCGACTCCACGGCGTGTGGCGACTCGCCGCGGCGCGGCGGTGGGTGGTTCGCATGAATAGTGTCCTCGAGCTCATGAGACATGTCAGGGTAGCAGCTAAAATCGATGTCGGGCTGCGTCTGCATTCCTAGGGAGTCGGGTTGACTGTAAGCATGCATGGCTCCTGATTGGCTGGCTTCCGCGGCTCCTAATTGGCTCGCTTCCGCGGCTCCTGATTGGATGGCGTCCGCGAGTCCTGGTTGGCTGCTAATTGCGGCATTTGTTTGGTTGGCTATCGCGGCATCTGATTGGCTGGTTCCGTCCACGAGAAACAGTTTGCCCGTCTGCGCACACCAGAAGAAGCCGCACTGAATGCGGCTGACGCGGGAGTCTAGAAAGATGACGTCACATTGTGACCGCGACCGCCCCACGCGGAGGAGCGAATTGGGGCGGAGCGGGATGGTGGTGACTTTGACGAGGCTGCTGTCGCGGGAGGTAGCAGGCACGAAGCATGGGGAGAGCGCATGAAGGAGAATGTCGAATCGGCCGTTCGTCATTGCTAAGACTTTAGGCGGTCTTGACGAATGAGGGATGGGAGTTAGCAGTCTAACTAGGTCCCGTCATAACCAGGCGAAAGCGTCTTGTGGCAAAACGGCGAAGGCAAAGCGGCGGTGCCTGCTGTTCCGCAGTTGTGACTCGAGGAGAAAGCTGTTGGGATGGTGGTGGTGGTGGTGGTGTAGGGGGGGTGCTGTTTCGATTGTCACGCGCCAATGCTGGAATGGAGACAGTCGAGGTGGTCCACGGTTGGATGAAGCACTGGCTTGATCGGACGGTAATTAGCCACTGTATTCGGTGGTGGATTCCCTTGGGATTTCAGTTTGAATGCTCGAAGTTCAGAAGCCAAAAAGTTTGGCGGGAAACAGGATCACAGGCAGGTGTGTTCAACACGCTTCCAAAGCCAGGGGCGATAACACCATGCGGTGTACTTCAACTTGTATCGTACCTATTGAAACATAGATGATCGTTTGGCTACATCCAATGAAGAAGGTGATATATTGACCAAGTGCAATCAGGTACATGACTTGGCTGTACTTCCATATACCGTATGTACGTGGACACTATAGGGTACGTAGGTTGGGCTACTCTGCCAGGGGTACAGCTTTGGTACTTGTTCACAACCGTATGCCCTCATCAGTCATTTCTTTCTTTCGTCAACAAGGCATCGGGTTAGGTTAGGTCGCCGCTTCCGCTTCGCCTACCCTAGCTACCCTAATAACGCCCTCTCCCAATGCCCTTAGCGCGCCCCCTAGAGCGTCCCTAGCATGCTTTCCGCCCTAGCCAACCAACCAAAACCTTCTGTGAATTTACGGTTGCGTACTTATGACTCCTGAGGCCAGCAGGACCTGCCTCTCCAGCTCCACCTTGTACTCCCAAATTCCCTCAATGAACCCCACAGCAGCATCCAGGAGAGATTGAGAGCGGCTATGTGCATGTAACTGGGAGCGCAACCGAAGCCTGCTGCAGCATTGTGGAGTCGAGTCCCCCTCCAGGTGTAGGCATTGAGAATGTGAGGATCTAGCTGGTTCGCTCAGTGAGTACTAGTGCTGTGAGGCCCGCAGCTGTCTCTCCAGCTCCACCCTCTACTCGCGCATTCCCTCGATGAACCCCACAGTAGCATCCAGGAGAGTGGTCTTCTGCGTGGGACTGGCGGCGCAACTGAAGCCTGCTCCAGTCGCCCTGCCCTGCCTCTTCAAACCTGGTCCTCCGACCAGACGCGTTGTTGTTACGAGGCCCCCAGCTGCCTCTGCAGCTCGCGCTTGTACTCGTGCATGCCCTCAATGAACCCCACGGCTGCCTCCAGCAGAGTGGCTATCTGCGTGCGATTGCTGAACCCCGCCCGCCCCTGCTGCCTCACAAGCACCTCTGCTGGAATCGCTGCCTTGAGGGCCTCTAGTCGCTCTCTGTGAGACACACAGTGGAGGAGGAAGGGGCGGCAGAGAATGGATGAACGGGAGAAACTTTTGAGACATCTCGAACGCGCCCAACTATGTGCCTCAGAAGCACCTCTGTTAGTATCGCTGCCTTGAGACCCTCAATCCCTCTCTGAGAGACACATGGGTAGTGGAAGGGACGAGATGCGAGCACTCGGTGCGCTTGTTCTCTCGTCCGAAGGACAGCAATCAACCAATGCCCTTACACACAGATACCATCTGCCACGACCTGATCAACCAGAGTCAACCAGAGTCAACAAGAGTCAACCAGAGTCAAACAAGAGTCAACCAGAGTCAAACAAGAGGGAGGGAGGAAGCAAGTCAGCAAGGGTGAAGAAGAGGGAACACGGCCCAGCCTGTAACACAACACAACACATGCACCTCCCCGGACCCTCGGTCCCTCACACAACTCACGTGATTCTGGATCGACGTTGCTTCTCTGTAGCGCTCTTCCCGGTGATTTGCCTCGCCCCTGCTGCTGCAATGGCCCCTGCACAACCCACCCCTCCCCTTGGTGACAGGGACAATGGGGACGGGGTTGCAGAGGGCGACTTGAAGACTGTGTTCCCTCCTGGGGGTGACTCTTTGTCTGCTATAGACCCAAAAACTGCTGCTGGCTGCATTTGCAGCGGCTCTGGAGTGAAGGGGCGCTGACCGTGCTGCGCGTGTGGCTGGGGTACCGAGGGGTTTGGAGTGAAGGGTTTGTGTGCGTGTGTGTGGAAGGACCCTGGTTGCACTGCATGGTGCACTAGAGGATTCGGTTTAGGTGGAAGCGGCGGAGGTGATAGCCCTCGAGATGGTTCAAAACGCAGCCCTGGCGACATGGGCCGGTGCAGTGCGGTGCTGGCATATGTTTGTGCTTGGAGTCGCCTCAAAAGGCTGCTAAAAGCTGCCTGCCTCTTCTGGTGTGCGAGGGACGAGTCCGGCATGGCAGGTGCAGCTGGAGAACCAGCAATGGCAGCAGCGGCAGCGGCACCAACAGCACCAGAAGCAGCAGCAGCGGGGGTAGAAGCGCAGACAAAGCCATCCAGTCCCTCAAAGGGATCCTGCAGAGGCATCACGAGAGCTGCAACAGCACCACCAGTGGCAGCAGCAGAACCACCACCAGTAGCAGCACCATCATCAAAAGCAGCAGCAGCAGAGGGAGACGGCAGCGGCTCCATGAGAGGTGCAGCAAGCCAGTCCAACGGAAGCTCTGGCAGGCACACGCCAGCACGTGTGGGACACACGCCAGCACGTTTGGGGCCCAGGCCAGAGTCAGAGTGTGTGGGGCTCACGGCGGGACGTGTGCGGCACATGCCAGCGTCTCTTTGGGAAGCAGTTGCAGTAGCAGGCGCAGCAGCAGTGCCAGCAGCAGTCCAGCAGGAAGGGTCTGAAGCAGATGACACGTGTGTTGCGGGGGTAGGAGCGGCCATAGCAGGAAGGGCTGCTGCTGCTGCATTCCACAGTGCATCGAGCTTGGCGATACAACCCAGCCTTCTTTCGTCGGAAACGAGGCTGCTGCTGCTGCTGCTAGAGAAGACAACAGCAGCAGTAGCAGCAGCAGCTCTTGGTTCGATGGCTGCAGCAGGAGCAGCAGGAGAAGCAGTAGCAGCAGCAGCTCTTGGTTCGATGGCTGCAGCAGGAGCAGCAGGAGAAGCAGTAGCAGCAGGGTTACCACATAACCGCTTCCTCGCCTGAAAAGCGTCCATTTGAGAGAAGTCATTTATCTGAGAAGCTAGAAGCCTTCGCTTCGTGCCAAAAGTGGGCACGAAGGCGGGAGAGTGGTAAGCTTCGAATGCCATTGAGGGGTTGCGAACGGGGGAAAGGGATGGCGGGGGTAAGGAGCGATAAACAGGTGGAGGAGGAGGATAGGTGCTGAGCTGCAAAGGAGGCTGAGTTGGCAGATGCTGATTGGGAAGCAGCGGACGGGAACGACGAGACTCATTCCGAATCTGGGTCAGCAGGGGGTTCGGAGGGGACACTACAAGATCCCCACGAGCCCCACTCCCATCATCCTGCGGAGGCCCTCCTGCTGCTGAGGGTGCTAATGCAACCAGCCCGGACTCTAAACCCGGACTCTTCCCTTCACATTCCGTTGGCACCAACCCTGCGTGCTCCTCCGGACTGAAGGCCGGGTGGGGCTCCCACAGCCTTTGCTTCTCGCCAGGGGTGGAAGCCGGGTCGGTGAAAGCGGAGTCAGCGAGCATGGGGGGCTGCTGCTGCTGCTGGGCGCGCTGCAGCGCTGCTTGGATGAGGCGCAGCTCGTCCCTGCTCATGCTGCTCCAGCCATGGCCGTCATCTTCCGCCACCTGCACCGTGTCAGCTGGATGCTCCCCCACTTGGAGCGCAGCGGCGTCTAAGCACGGTTCTTTCGTTGAAGTCGTCGTCGCCGCGTGGAAGCATGGTGGCTCCGAGCTTGTTAGAGGCGCGTCCGGACAATCCATGCGGAGGGAGGGGAGGGGTCACACGACCAACAAGTTAACGCCTAGTCGTCGCTGCTGTCGTAGTAGTGGCAGAAGCGAGAGAGTATGAGAGCACTTCTGGACGCTGTCTGTTTATTAGAAGCCTTGAAACGAGCAATGAAGCACCGTAGCACCAAAATGAGCGTTCCAGAATTTCAAGCATCATCAGCCAAATGAGTACGAATAGAACCACGTGAAATGGTACGATAATGAATGTGGAGAAAGTGGAAATGTTGCGGCTCTTGCACTCACTCGTAGTACTACCAGCTGCTTCGTCATGCTGACTCGCGACGGGGTGCAACATTCTTAGGAGCAGTAGTCAGAAGGGGGACCAGAAGGGCCGCAGGGTGCGAAACACATGACTCCAATTGGTGCGCCCTCCCGTCCCCCCACACAACACGACCAATCGCCGCTGTTTGGACGGGGCCGTGTGAACTGACTGAGAGCACCCTTTCGTCGACTTATGTGCACTCGAAGCCTTGAACTGGAGTGAACAGATATGTGCACCTTCCTTTAAGAGGAGAGGAGGAGAGCAGCAGCACTCTCACGACGCGTGGGACCGACTGGCCTTGCAAACGAGCAAGTTGCCGCACAGCTAGTGTGTCAGCTGTCTCAGACACTAGGCTAGTGTGTGTGATCCAACCAATCGCCGAGATCGGTGCTGCCTTTGTCTTTGCGGAAACCGGGACTGCTAGACGTCAAGCTGGGAGCCAGGTGAAAACCGTCACGAATGATAAAATGCTGTCTTTGATGATTCTCAGAATCTGGTTGCGCGGCGCGGCGAGCAGGCGGCGAAATCGGGCATCATTCACGGCGCATTCAAAGTGCCGTGATGCCGCCATACTAGAAAATAGAATCGCGATGATGATAGCTGTAATTCTTGATGATGACGATGATGTTGATGATGTTGATGTGATATGCGGCGAAACCCTGCTGGCGTGGCCCCTCCAGCCCAGCATGCTGACCGTGACGACTGTAGACTACGATTTCAAAAATGGGAAGATCGCGTCCGGTTAGACGAAAGCAGAGACGGGGGAGAAACAAAAAACGCGACTACACAGTATCCGTCTATACAGTACTACGAAATGGGAGAGAAAATGCCCGTCGCGTCCCGGCGTTCGGAGACAGACAGAGACGGAGCAGAGAAAAAAACATGTGTACTGCCTGTGAGTGAGGGCATCCGCTGCCTAACCTCCCAGTGGGTAGCGAGGCGTGATATGATAATACTTACGCACCTTCAGGGGGATCATACTGGGGTTTTCAGCTTAGCAGGGAGGGGTATCCCGACCCCTCCGCTTTCAGGTTAGGGAGTCGAGCTCCCAATGAGCCACGTGGATAGGGGGGAGCTTAGTACAGAGGTTAGTACAAGGATCAAGGTATTTCGCGAAAACTGTCACTTGAACGATCAAGGTAACTGAGCTGTCCTCGCCAGAGATGGATCGCACGACTCAAACTAGCTGGCTGGTATGATGTGGACGTACTCGGTCGGGCATTCCTTGTTCAAAGGTGCCGCCTTACGAAAACCGTGTTGGCCACTTCTAGTACACTAGTAGGCAAGGAAAGCGTTGGGATTACTCGTCCCCGTCCGGCAAATCGCCTTCCAGCTAGACTAGCTAGTAACATCATAGCCCTAATCGAAAGTCCCCTGGAACCACAAAACACAGCACATCCCCATTGCCTGTGCGTGGTGAATTGTTAGCGTCGAATCTAGATTGGAGAGCCAACAAGAGAGCCGACACACACGAAATCAATAAAGAAGCAATCACACTATCATGTTCAGGAGAGCACGAAAACATGATTGAGGAAAGCCGCGGTGCGATACAAGGAGATTGAATGGCTTTAGGGTGCGTCAGATCCGTTGGCCGGATCAATCCGGCCGGCCGGATCTAGCGAAGGTTACACATTCACGACATTCGTAAGGTATTTTGAGAATTTCGCACAATCCGGCCACTTGCTAAAATTTTGATGGCCGGTTTGATGGCCGGTTTAGCGGTCGACAACTTTCCGACGTGCAAACGAATCGAGAGTCGACCACTTTGTCGACTCGTCAGCAATACAGTACATATGCGACTTGGCCAACATAACCAAGTGACTCAACGTGTCACAAGGACGACTCGCACGGCGCTTTCAGCGCCGTTGAACATGACCGCTTCCGAAGCGAAGGAGGACAAGAGCTACTTGGAGAGCCACCTTGCATGCATGTTTGCCAGTGCTGATGAGATGTTCAGACCAGACGCGGCAGAGGTAACCGAATACGTCACGATCAACTCGCAGTGTTTCGTATAGGTGGTCTGGGGACATGTGCAAGAAGCGCTCCATCCAACGCGCTCGTTGAATACTTCGGTCATTTCGCCAGAACACCTGGTAATCGCTCTCGTCAGCAAAGTCAAGGAGCAAGGGCACCATGACACCGACTGCAGCGACCAAGGGGATGAGCACGACGTGCGTGAGTCCGATTGCTAAACGTCGTGCCCATCTGGGTGTGAAAGGATCCGCCATGTTATATAAAGGGTATAGTGTAGGGACGTTCCGGTTTTTGTATGCTCTCGTCACACTCAGTTCGAGTAGACGACACGATCTTGCCGAGCCGGGTTGTAAATGGAGCCGCAGCTCACATCTTGACTCTCTGATCGTAGTGCGCACAATAGCGGTTGTGTCACTTCAGTAACAATACGTGCGACTCCGTTGCACAATCCGGCCAACTGTGCGACCTGCAAATCTGACACTTTTGCAAACCGGCCTGTAAATCGGCCACCAAATCTGTCAGATTTCAACACCTTGTAAATGTGGCTGGATGGTGGTCGGTTTAGCATTCGACCATTCGGTCGACTTTGGCGAAAAAAGGAGTCGACCAAAAGGGCGACAAATTTGCAGCCAAATCACATTGTAGCGGATCTGACGCACCCTTATGCCAGCTACCAGGGCGGGTCAGTAACATTTTGTAAACATTTTGAGGTCTAGTACAGGGCCCAAAATATCAGGGTAAAATACCCTTTTTGCCCTTTCTGTAGGCCGCTTTTTTTCAGTTACCCTGATCAAGGCAGGCTAACCGTACAGTACCCTTTCTTCAAATTAGTGGTTTTTTTTTACCCTTTCAAAAACAGTGTACCGGTAGTAGTTTCCTTTCCCTGACTAAGAAGTGTACCATCCTTTTACAGTACCAGCGATCCGAAGAAACCCGTATAGCCCCAGTAGACATTTCACACGCATCAAGGTTCGAACCTGCCATCTTACCATTTGGAAGAAACCATATAACTGACTAAGTCATTTACTGACATGTGTGACAAAAACCAAATGGACGTTTCTTTGGTTCAGTCAGGGTACCTTTTGTTTTAGCCTGTATTTGTCAGCGTAACAGAAATTGTACCCTAGGCCATCAGGGTGGGACAGGCTGAGACCGAGATTAGGCAGGGTGGCCTAAAACCAATTTTGGGCCCTGGTCTAGTACGCTGATCTGCACTCTGGAAGTCTTCATTCAATTCACCTTTTACAACCGCGACTCACCTCTCCGAACAATGATACATGAACTGAAGGCGCGGTGAGGGTGTGTCCATCGCGTTAGTTTTTGTGTTTTAATGCCTTCACATTTTTCAAGGTTCAAAAGAGTGTCAGAGGTCCACTGGTGATCCCCGATTGATCCTAGGGAAGGGTTACAGGCACGTTGGCCTGGGGGGTTATGGGCGCACTGACCCGCTACTTAACAAGCCCTTTCATCCCAATGGTCTAGTGGTTGGGATTCTGACATGGTATCAGAGCGAAGGTCTCGGGTTCGAATCCCGGTGTATGCACTTCGGGCATCCCAGTGCGGGGGGGTGTCAGAGGTCCACTGGTGATCCCCGATTGATCCTAGGGAA